AACTAGATACAATTTGTGATATTTTGACGTATTGTTGAAAGAAATCGGTCCAGTGAGAGCTGAGAAAAAGTGGCAACAGATATAAAATAACAAAAAACACATCATGGTAAAATTAATACCTTCTCAGCTTTGCATTGAAGCTAAAATAACTATATAGTTATAACACTTATATATAATTCCATAATAAATTATAATAATTATTTTTTTATATATTCCAACAAGTATTGTATTCTTTAAAAAAAATGGTACAATAATAGATACACTTGGATGTTTCTTATTAAGGTCATTTTTAAAAAACTTTGCTTTTGTATTTTTATTTTGTTTTTAAGATAAATAAAATTTATTCTAAAAATGTTGAGGTCCTATCTTGATTTTACTATGCCGGTAAGAGATTGAAGTATTCGCATTTAAATAAAATGGGATTTTTATTTTTTTAAAATAGTCTTGAAAGCTGGCAAAAAAATCGCGAAAATATGAAACATATGTCAATTGATCGGAAATTTTAGTTGAGTACTAAAAAACCTGTTCAAGCAATGTTTTTCGCATGTGCGAGGCGTGTATGTAGTTAAATGTGGTCAATTTATCCCAAATCTTGTTATTTTCAATTAGCAATTATTTTAACCACATATATTATATTATAGGAGTTATTAATTTAATTTATCAATACAATATAATATCATGTGTTAGCATCGATGCGAAGAAGAGAAGGTATTAATTTTACTAGGATATGTTTTTTTTATTGTGTCTCTCAAGTTTTTAAACTACTTTTGATTTGTCAAAAGATCACAAATAGTATCTAATTGAAGATTTTATTCTTTATAATAGAAAAAATTCCTTCGTTCCCTCTAAATGGGGGAAATTTTCCCAAAAATTACATTTTTTAACTTAATTGTCAAAACGATATATTCCAAAATTGACTATTAATAATTGTTAATAAATATTTTTATTCAAATTATTATTTATTATACACTATTTAAAATATTTCTTTTTGAGTATCATTCAAGACTGTAAATTCAAATAGTAACTTAGATTTAAGGTACTTACGCTATGGACTATTACAATTCCTTGCAAAGTGTCTTCCTAATCCACACCGGTAATATTTTGCTGTAATAATTAAATTTGTTAATTATAAAACTAAATGATATATTTGGTTAGACTTATATTTTGGAGGGTTGATATTAACACCAAAGTTTGAGAGTTTAAAATGTTGATAAATATGTATAATATTCTGTTAACAAATGTAACGATTAGTAAAAGAATATTTATTATTTCACTTAACTTAAATTTCACCCCCCATACCAAGGCTCGAAATGGACAGGAACGCAGTTCCGGTTTAGGACAAAAAATTTTTTTAGCGTTCCGGCTCGTAAAAAAAATACATTAGTATGTAGTATGTATTAAAAAAAAAATGCGTTCCGGTTAAAAAAATTTTCGATTTCGAGCACTGCCCCATACAATTTAGAAATTAAAAAAAATAATATTTTAACATTAATTTTTAATTGAAACTAAACAAGTTTTCAAATATTATTTTTCCAGCTCATACATACTAAACCAAAAAAAAATTTTTTTGATTTTCCAAAAATGAATAGTACACACCAAAATAAAGTAACCGTCTAAATTTGAGGTTTTTTGATCAACCTTAATAAGTCATTGAGGGACGCATTTCAATTTTTACACTTTGACGACATGAAAAAATGGAATTTTGTTATAAAATCGTTAATTTTTCAAAGAAAATATTTTTTTAATTACTTTTGCAAATCCTAATATCTATACTGTAAAATCAAAACGATATTATGTTTAACCCTTATGTGACTTCGAAAGGTACCATTTCTTTTGGCATGATAGATTTGAATATCTCTTTTGTTGTAAATAATGCAGTAGAATTTAATGGTCCAAGTTTTTGACGCAAACATTTTTTTAATGGTTCTGATCTATCTGGTACGAAATTAACATTAAAGTCTCCACTCAGAATCATAAGCAATTTATCTTCTCCCCTGCCGAATAATGCTGCAACTTCGATAATAAAGGTAAGTAGTGATCCATTTAAAAACTATATCATCTATTATTTTGTTTAGTGAGATATAAATCTATATTTTTCTTCTTCTTCTTCTTTTACTTTTAATAAGATTTTATTATAAACTTTTTTATAAGTTGCCTTACACAAAACACTGGCGTCATTGTTGACTTACCAGGCATAAATCCAAACTGGTTTGGATACTGATGTCTCATTTCTTATTCTCTTATCTATTACCATTTCCCAAATTTTCATACTATGACTCATAAGCTTTAAGCCTCTATAATTTCCACACTCCTGTATGTCTCCTTTACCTTTAAATATTAGCACCACAATACTATTCCTCCATTCATTTGGTATTTTCCCTTCTAATAAGATTTTATTTAAAAGTTCCTTCAAACACCTTATACCAACACGGCCTTATATTTTCCATACTTCTATTGGCACTTCATCTGGTCCTACTGCTTTATTCTTTTTCATTGATGCCACAGCCTCCCATACCTCTCTCTCACTAATTAAATCTACCAGTCCCTCATTTCACGAGATATTCTCTAATGTTTCTTTTAGGTACTTTTCATTCAATAATTTTTTAAAATACTCTTTCAACCTTTTTTTCACATCATCATCATTCGAGAGTACCTTATTATCAACACTTTTTATACACCTTATATAATGATAATCCTTAGACCTATTCTCTCTTATCTTTGCAAATCTATAGATTCATTTCTCGCATACAACTCATCATACCTCTTAAACTTCGCCTTACTTACTGCACACTTGGCTTCTTTGCACAAGCCTTTATACTCCATCCAGTCTTCTCTCCATTTGCTCTTCTGCCAAACTTTGAATTGCTTTTTCTTACTTTCTATGATTTTTTGAACGTCCTTATCATTTATGTGTCCTTTGACATTCCACACCGCCCTCTCTTTTACCATCTTTACAAACTCTTTTTCATTTTCCCCTTTCAATTTCCACCAACGAATCTTCGATTTTTCCCTTGTGTTTCTTCTATTTTTATTTATTCTCTTTCCGGTACACCACAACTCCATTACCATTAGTCTATTACCATTTGTTGTGTAGTTACACTCTTTACAATCTTTTACTCGCTTTACGCTCTCTCTCTTATACATAAAACAATCAATCTGCGATCTATTCCTCCCACTCTTATAAGTTATATAATGCTCTTCCCTCTTTCTAAAATAAGTATTAACCACAGCAAAATCATACAATACTGCAAAATCTAGTATTCTTTCTCCAGCCTCATTCTTCCAACTGAAACCATATCTTCCATGTACTCTTTCATATCCTCTCCTCTCATTACCTACATTTCCATTCATATCTCCACCTATCACTGCATTCTCATTGCCAACCCCTTGCATCACCTTATCCATCCTCTATAAAATACTTCCTTGTCTATTTCATCACATCTCACTTGTGGTGCATAGGCAATTATTACATTCAGCACTTTTTCTTTGAATATCAATTATACGAATATTCAGTCATTTTAATTTGTATCCTTCATAAATAATTTTTCTAATAGGAAATTTTATCAGATATCCAAATGTATAAGTATCGTCTTGACACGACTTAGGGGATTGACCCTAAGTATATTTGAATGTATAAAAACAAGTATTATCAAAAAGTATTATTGTATATTATACATTTTTGCTGTTCCTTTTTTTTATAGTGTAATAATTATAATGATGAAGTTAATATTATTGGTACTTCTGTCCCTTTAATTCTTACAGCCAGGCAACTTAATGAACACTGTTATAGTTACTGTCTTATCAGTTTGTGGTTAGGTGCTGAGTTTTGGGACCTAACTTCCCAGACGTTTAATGTAGTGTATTCACCAGTGAATAAATAGTTTTTCCTTTTTTCTTTATTAATTTATATTTTGATGCCACGTTCATTAAATTATTAAATATTCATTTTTCTGGAAAATTTTTTAAAATTATGATGTAAAAATATGTTGAAAAATTAAATTTTTCTGATGAACCAACAGTTAATGATAATGTATCAAATATTGTGATAAGACAGTGCGCTGTATTATCACAACAAACTATCAGAATTAAGTCTTATAGTACCATAGATCGATAATATAAATAAAAAGTACGTCCTTTATATACAGATTTAATGTAATGTGCTGCAGTCCTAGAGAGCACATATATCTCAGTCTCACTAAAGTATTCTATACTGCAATGATTAATATGGTCACGAGTTAGGTCTTAACCATAAATATTATCTAATGTTAGTCATAAAAATAAAAAATTATACATTAAATTTACATTTAACTTTTCCGAATCTTAACCGTAATTAAATTTTTAAAACTTTTTCATGTAGTAGTTCGTGATAAAAGAATTACTATATATTTTAGAAATATTTCAGTGACGCATACAACCCGTTTTATATTGACATTACTGCCAACAAATAGTTTTCCTTTTTTACATAATAGTTGGCAACCTTGTCAATGAGTTGATAATTTATTTTATAATGAGCATACCTAAACACTTTATTAAATATAAAATTTCAGCTTATGGTTCATGTATTCAAGTAGTACCAGTATAAGTGACCATTTTGAAAATTTGATAAAAAGAGTTGTTGTGCATACCAATTTTTTCATTATTATCAAAGCATCAGTTTGTACACGTAGACTGAACGAAACGTTCCGCGTTGTCTTAAAGGTCAGCCTTCATTGTAACGCACAGAAGCAGTGTTGATTGTATACATTTTGGCGACGACTAATCAAACGATTGATTCCGCGTACTGTATTCGTATACAATATTTATGTATATATATATATATATATATATATATACTAATATTGTATAGATATAGGTATATGTTGTAATGTTTTTGTATATACACAATATTAATATGATAATCGCGGCAGTTTGTTGTTGTTTGCATTTTGTTTTTTTTTTTTAACTCGTAAGCGTATTTTTTAGTGATAATAGAGTTTTATTATAGTATGAATATCGTCTACGAGTAGTTATAATCAAAACTGCAATAGATATTTCACTGTTCCGGTTTCATTAACGTTACTGCTACCGACGCCCGCCGTTTCAATAAATTTTAATTTATACACTTATCATTGACAAAAAACAAAAACATTTGTAACATTTTCGTTCCCCACCTAACGGTTACCAGCAGGTAAACGGTCCGCGGAAGAACGGCACATAAACCGCCACCGTCGCCGCTTTGTGTAATGAAGGGAACGGTCGCCTTTAACAATCTTTGTTGTCCGTATCAATTGCCGCCGCCGTCGTCGTTGCGACCCGACAGCAACGACAAACAACGAGCATCGCTACACGTCAATCAGATGTGTTTATATTAACAGTTACGATTCCCGACCACCGCCGCTTAATGTACAGACCAACGCACAATACCAATCTGTAAGTACTTAACTGAGAGTGAGAACGCGCGCGCATTAAATTCACAGAGATAGATACCCCGAATGAACTAAAAATTAATTTCTCTTAGATGATAGCGCCTAAAGATACGCCAAAATAATTCATATATGCTGATTAAATTAGATTCCAATCTTAGACTCGAGCTGATACAACTTTCAGATGTATTGTACCAGTAGATTTTTTATGTTACATTAGTTAATAAGTAATAATGAGCTTTCAACTATGATACATTCCATAATTTCATTTAGTTTTCAAACTATATTTTAATATCCTACAAATTCTCTTAATTTAATAGCCTAATATGTCCTGCTGTCTATTGAATACTTTGAATCGTTGTTGGGTGTATATTAAGTATAAATAGTTATTAAAATATAATAGATATGAATACTATCAATGTGTAGGATTTTAATAGCTGAAACATCATAGAATAAATAACTTGTTTAAAAATGAGCTTTTTTTATCAATTTTTGAAACTGACAATATTGATAATACCTTTATTTTAACTTTTATGAGGTTTATGATTCTGATTAAAATAGAATAAAAATGTTAAAAAAAACTATGACATATCTTAATTTCATTGTTTTAGTTAATTAAAAAATGAATAATTTAATTATAAAATTAATATTAATATTAGTAATAATATTAATCTTTTTTTTAATGTCTTAAATAAAAGTTATTTATATGTACATTAATTAAATGAAAATAAACAAATCAATAAGTGGCATTATTGTATTGTATTACATTTAAATAGTAACTATATTATAAATTTATTTAAACTAAAGTAATATTAACTGATTGTATAAACCATAAGTATATAAATGGTATTTAATGTTAAAACAAAGTATACTGTTTGTATTAAAAATAAATCTAATCCAAGAATAACTGAATAAAATATTTTACAATATTACTGTTGATATATTAAATATATTTATTATAATATTTATATATTATATATATATTACTTAAATTTTAAGTATTAAGAAAAATTTAATTTATTTCATAACTGAGAGATCAAAAGTGTTAGAAATAATATACTTTTGTATAAATCCAGCTTCATTAGTTTATTTAATTCAAAACCAATTTAATTATTATATTTTATAGACAATATGACCTGAAAGTAGGCTACAATGATGGTCATCAAAGGATCATGACAATGAATGGGGAAATACCTAGTGTACCGATAACAACTCTGGCAGGAATTTCAAGTTTAACTGATTGTAAGTAGTGAAGTTAATTTTATAGTTTAATTACATAGTTAAAATAAAATATAAATAAATAATTCTTTTCCTTAAAAATTACTTAAGTAATTTCTCTTTGAATATGATTATGTTTTAGTATAATTAAAATAATTTGCAATTAATATCAGTTTTATTTCAAGTTGACTCTCTTCAATTTAAATTTTTTAAAGTATTCATCGTGCAGTGTAAATATTTTAATTAAGTAGTCTTTTTTTTTTTTTTAATTTTATTGTATTATTATTATATTGCCAATTTTAATGCAGAGTGTCAAAAAATAATAATAACTATTAATAGATATATTTTTAAGTTATTTCATTAAAAAGTATATTAATCCAATGCAGTTCTTAAATTCTCAATTAATTAAAAAAAAACTTTTCTATAATTTTTTATGATTTATAGGATTATTAATATCCTTTGAAATTAATTCAAAGGTTCAGAAAAAATTTTATTGCAATATTTTATTTGTGATTATAGTTATTTTTAATGGTTTATTATTTTAATTTTTATAGTGTTACCTGAAATGCCACTGCCATCCCCAATGCCACAAACATTAGGAAACAAATCTCTTTTGTTTCATCCGCGGGTTGCTGAAGAAGCAGATATTTTACTAAGCCTTCGAGATGACATACTTGTACCTCAACTTATTCAGTCGTTGATAAATACTTCATCAGATCACATGTGAGTTTTGAAGTTTTTAAAATTCAAAATGAATGGAAATTTTTAATTATATTCTTGTTTTAGACAATTGAAGGAGAAATATGTGTATACTGAGCATTATAGTAACCAACAAAATATTCCTGAACTCTTAAGGGCTATATTGCAGCAAAATGCCAATGTATTTAGAGGGCCCCATAATAATCTACAACAGTTTCAAGGTGTGACTTAAGTTAAATATTTCTTTATATTAATGATTGTTTAATCTTTATGTTATATTATTTTCACTGTACATTATAAAATCTATTATACATATGTTTTTTTTGGTTTTTTTATTTCTTAGATAAAGAAAGTTTTCAAAAGACAGAACATGAGATGAATATTATTAACAATTTAGCATCAAGTTTATCAGATCAACAAGAAATACATCAGCATCAAGAAATTATGCAACAGTCTCATCTATTAAATCAACTAGGACCTCAACAACAACCTGTTATTGTCAGGTCACCTGCATCAAAACTACCTAGATTAACATTAGATAATGATGGTAAAATGTTATTCATTTGTAAAAGTTACTATAAAAAAATAATTTGTTTATCATCAATTATAGCTGAAAAAATGTTGGCAGATGTTGGTGTATCAGAAAATGACAAAGCTAATGTTCAAAAATTAGAGCATGAATTTTCTCAATTAACAAATAATTATGAAGCTTTTTTGAATCAACCTACTATAGCTTTAACACGACTAGATCTTAGTGAACATGGTAATTTTATGTGATTTGTGGTTAATTTTTTTAATTAAATGAGTATTTAATATTTTACATTAGTTATCAATAAAGGAACGTTACTTAATATGGAAGAATTAACAGAAGAAAATGATTTTGGTTTATCTCTTTCTGAAAAAATACCAACAAACCAAGGTATGTTTTATTAAAACTGTAAAGTAACCCTTATTGATTAAAATAAAGAGTATTAATTTATACCAAACTCTAGTCAATAGGTCTTGTCAAGTATTGTCAAGAGATCTATTTGATTTTGTAGTAACTAATTTTATTAATGATAGCTTGAAAAGACTACAATAAAAATTAGTTTCATAAAAATGTAACATATACTCACATTAACAGTTTCAATTAAATCTATATAATTTTTTATAATGATTGAAAATATGAGAACCATATTATAAAGTTACTCATTGATTAGGTTGGGTTTTAACATTTTAAAAAATTCAACATTGTGAACCATACATGATTATTGGTTGTATGATTGTCAGATATAACTAAGTTTTAACCTCTTTTGGAAGGACTTTAGAGCTTAATAGTTTGTCTAATGCATAAAAGCATTTATTTCCCATTTTGATTCTTTGTTGAATTTCTATTTTTCATTTATTCTTCTGTGTTCCAATAGTACCCGGTATTTAAATCCTTCCACTTTTTTAAAGTCATACTGACCAACTGTTATAGTTTCGGTTGCAGAAACATTACGTAGTTCCCTACTAACTTTCGTGTATTGCGTTTTCTCCTTGTTGAGATTTAGCCCCACTTTTTTTGCAATTCTATTAACCTGTCACAAAAATCTACCACTTCCTGTTCTTCTTCCCCTAGTAACACTATATTGTTTTCATAGGCAAGCAGATTAAAGCAAGTTTTATCCATTATTACTCCTTCATCTCTTCCAATATTCCTCAATCTACCGGTAAATTTTGCTTTTCCCACACTTCTTTTATTAACAAATATATACCTCTCTATCATGGAACTATCTGCATGCTTTAATACTTCCCCTTGAAGTTCATCTTCCCCGGGTGACATATGGTTCAGGGGTCTTGTGATTTGTTGTTTGATTTCCTCATTTGATGGGGCTGGGCAGAGATCATCATTGGGTTCGTTGCATCCATATATATATATGTAAATGTATCTACTGGTTCTTCACAATTGAGTAGTTTTTCCAAATAGTCTGCCCATTTCTCCATTATTTCTTCTTGGTTTGTCACTAGGCTTCCATCATCATTTTTTAGAAATTTTTCTTGTCTTCTGTATCCTCCTTTAAAGCTATTTACATTGTAATATATCTGTCTTGTATGTGATATGTGACCATATGATATATGGTCTATTTGATTTGAGTACCTACCTTCAGGTAACATCCATGTCCCTTTATGTATGTTCTTATGCGGGAACATTGTACTCTTGACTCTACGACCTTTCCTTATGGCTAAATCTACTACTTTTGTTCCAATGTTATTAGTTATGTCATACAAACTGTGGACACCAATAGTTGGTCTAAATGATCTCTCTTTCCCTATTTTGGCGTTCATATCTCCTAGTACAATTATTATTTTGCTATTACTTATCTTTTTTAGTAATAGTTCTATCTCACAATAAAAATCTTCTTTTTCTTGTTGTGTTTTGTCCTCTGTGGTTGCACGTACGTTAATGAATACGATATCAAAACACTTAGTCTCCATTTTTAATAACGCTACTCTTGGATTGAATACTCTAAACTCTTTTATCGTTTGTACTATATTCTTACATACTACAAATCCAACTTCAAACTACCCTCTTTCATCACACCCACCAAAAAGGATTGTCATATTGCCCATTTCTATACTTCCTGTTTCTTTCCATCTTATTTCCTGCAGATCTAAACTCCTAAACCATATCTTTCTATGTCTGATCATATTTTGTGCAACACTGGGTTTGTAAAGTGTTCGTACATTCCAAGTTCCAAAATTGAGTTCAGTTTTTCTATTTCCATAACTCTTCTCATTGAATCTAATTCGAAGCTTGATCTAAAGTTCTTGAATAAAAATATTTTTATGGGACAGGGTTTGACACGGCCCTCGGTAGTATAGTGGTAAGTATCCCCGCCTGTCACGCGGGAGACCGGGGTTCGACTCCCCGCCGCGGAGCCAGTTGACACGACTTACGTCGCAAAAATGTGGTCGACACTGGTTTTGAGGGTAGAGACCAGTGGGCCGTTTATTAAATGAGCGACAACAGATTATGTTAAGAAAATTAAAACAAACCGAAAAGATAAATACAGTAATAATAATCTTCGCATAATATCGCGGCATTTCGCTGGCGTCGACGACTCGATGTCCGGCGTAATCCTTGGACGGCAAAATGGTTAGCAGCGTTGTAGGTGACGGTGCGCGGGTGCGGATCGGTTGGTCGGCGGCGTTGTCGCTTTCACAACGGGAGGAAGACTCTCGCACCATTTGCGGCGGGTCGTCGTCGGCCGTGCGGCATTTGCTGGACTTTGCACCGTAGCGTATAACACGCAGTGTTGGTCATTCAAATATTCATAGTAGGGCGACGGCTGATAAAGGTGGCACGAGTCACTGGGCATCGTGTATAACGAAGCGACGCGGGCCGTGTCAGGTTGTAAGCACTGCGCTTAACCCCCAACCTGGAGGGCCATACTAAAAAATTCTTTTATATGACCAATTATGTGAAAACAAAAAATGTATTCATTAACTCAATGTACTTTTGAAAAGTGAACAGTACACATTCAAGTAACTTAAAAGTTGTAAAAGCTTATCAATTTAGTGTATATGTAACAATAGGGCAAAACATCTTTATAAAAGCTCTGTTTAACATAGTGTTTTTAACTAAATTTAAAAAATTTATTTAAATTTTTTAGGTAATACAATTAAAGAAGATGATACAAAAGATTTTGGAGTTTCTTTAACTGAAAGAATAAAAAGAAGAAAAAGAGCAGTACAATACTCTGATGACAAAAACAGTATTGATGAAAGTGAGTTAAAAATATATATGTTTGATAAATTTTACTTTGATTTATTAAAAATAATAAATATTAATACTAATTTCAATATAAATGGAGATTAAGTTAATTATTTTACAAAGTTTATTTTTTGATTTTAATGTATATTTTTCAATTGTAGTTGATTATTTTTAATTTTCTTTTATAAGCAGGATAAAAGAATGATTAATAACAGAAAAAGATTGATGTACTAATGTATAGATTTAAATTATTTCTATAGTTTTTGTTTTTTTATTAAATTGAGTAGATACATCAAGATATTTATGTATATATTATATATTTAGCTCAGTGTTGATTAATAAATTGTTGAATTATATATTACAGTAAAAAACTACTTAGAAAGTTATTTTAATACAATTCAATTATTAAAATAAAAAGTAATTAAGTAATATATAAGTAATTCCTTATGATTCACTTTATACAACAAAATATTTAAGTATGCGATACACTTTCATATAGGTTGATATTGTGATGTGCGGCTGAGAGAAATACAGTACCGTGTACTGTACAGGAGCCACTATTATACATAATAGTGTAAAGGACAGCACCCTTTATTTTATTTTGAATGATTTTTTTTTAAGTTTGCACTGCCCATTAGTAGTTTGTTTAAAATTTTATGTTGGAGGTTTGGTTAAAACATTAAGCACTTTAAAAAAAAAAGTGTTCTTACCTCCTCCTCATCATTGTGTCAAAGTGTAGCTATTTTTAAAATCTTTCCTCATTGGTAAGGGTTTTCTCGACAATAAATTCCCTATAAATACTCCTTAAAATAATAATCAAGATATTTTAATATTTTTATATTATAGAAAAATTTACATTAATTTCACTCTTAATATTTTTATTTTGCAATTTAATTATATGAATTTAGTAAAATTAATGGCATATTTAGGGAGAGTATAATGAAATATTATGCTCTCTTTCTGCCTCCATTGTCAGTACTAGGATAATATAAAAATGTTTTTTGACATTTCATTTGCTAATAATCAACTCAAAATAAAATAATTAAAAATAGTTGCAAAAAATGTTCATGGTAACTTATATATTTCTAAATATGCCCTTTCATGAAGTCTCATAATTATTATTAGTTTAAGTGATTTAATTCAAATAAATTGCATATTTAACATAAATTTAAAAAACCCAGCACAGGGGGGTCGCGGCACAGTGGTGACGTGGTATAGATGGATTAAGTATAATGATATCTGACAGTGATTAAAATCACTATAAAAAAAAAACGCTTCGATGCAAATCTTTAGATAGTGTTTAATTTTAAAAAATTGGTGGACTATTCCAAAAGCTACATTATCTGCTAGTTCATTATTAATATCCTAATTAAGATAAAGTATGTAGAATGAAAAAGGGATTATTAAAAAATATTATTTCTCATAAAAAAATAATGTTGATCCATACACTTTTCAATATGTCATAGCATTATAAAGTTAAAAAT